CTTGTGGAGGCTGCTGGAGCAGCTGAGGGAGGAAGACGACGTGAAGGGGATGCGACACCTCAAGCGTTTCGCGGAGCTGACAGGAGACAAGTACCTCGCGCTTGAGTGCTCGCTGCTGCTGGGAGAGGTCTCGGGGCTGGACGACCTGCGGGGCTTCTCCCTCCGGCTCAGCCTCGCGCCCACATGGGACAAGAAGTTCAGGAGAGCTCCAATGCCTTCGGCGTTCTTCTCCATCGTGAACCCCTCGCAGGAGGAGGAGGAGGATGGGCAAGGGGAGACGAGGAGGTTCACCTTCTCCCTGCAGAACTCGGGGGAGGGATGGCTGCAGGAGATCAGAAGCTCGGCGTCGACGCTGATCCAGCAGCTGAAGGAGGGGAGGGAGGGGACGGCGAAGTCTCCCTCCTCCTTGTCCAGCTGGTTCTCTCATCGCCTCTCGGAGGACTGGAGCGCTGGGGAGGACAAGTCCAACAGGCCCCCAGCAGCCCCGACAGTACCGCAGCGGTCGCCTGCCTCCTCCGACTTCTCCCCATCTCGCGCCCCCAGCGAGTCGGCAAGGACTGAGCCTGACGTGGACGAGTTCGGGTTCTCGATCCGGCCGGACGAACGAGCTCCGGACTCGAACCCCTTCGGGTCGGCCGAATTGTTCGGGGAGGAAGAGGAGGACGCCGGGCAGAAGCCCCAGCTGCTGGTGAGGATCCGGTCAGCTGAGGAGTCGAAGGTGGCGGACGCAGACGAGCTGCTGCATGCCGTCAAGTCGATGTCGCTGTCGGCGGAGGGGAACGAGACGAACATGGCCGTGCGAAACATGCTCGACATCGGGCTCGGGGCTGGAGCTTCGCTGTTCAGCGAGAAATCGAGGAGAAGGGCTGGCTCGCGCACTGCTGACTCGAAGCATGCATCCACTAAGAATACGCCGATGTAGGAACGAGAGGGAGGAGGAGGAGGAGGAGGAAGGAGAAGGGAGAAGAGGAGGAGGAGGAGGAGGAGGAGGAAGAGGAGGTTCAGCAAGCTTGACTTCTCTGCTCCTCAGAGTTTCGCCGATGGTCTCTATCGTGGAGCACGAGGACATGCCGCACTTCCCCCCTGCCGAACCCTCGAGTACCCCCAGCTGACCTCGAGCTGGACGGCTGACTTGTGGCAGGCGACTCCTTCTCGAACATGATCTTCGACTTCGATCCCTTCGCGGCCGAGAGCTCGAGCGGAGGATTCAGAAACGAGTTTGACAATCACTTCGGTGCTCCTGCTCTTGCCCCTTTCTCTGCCCCTGCCCCTGCTGCTCTTGCTCTGTCATGCTCTCTTTGTTGCTAACAACTTGTAGGCTTTGGTGATCCCTTCAGTGCCTTTGTTGGTGACGGAAAGCTCGCGGAGGAACAAGAAGGAGAATCATCCAGGTTGATTCCCCTCCTCCTCCTTCGCCTCCTCCTCCTCCTCCACCACCACCACCACCACCACCACCACCTCCTCCTCCTCCTCCTCCTTTCCATGGACTCCCCACTCCCCCTCACTCCCCACCTCCCTCTCTCGTCTCTCTTCCTCCCCTCCTCTCCTTCTCACCTCATCGCCCCCCTTCTCACTCCCCAGCTCCCAAACTTGGTCTTCTTCTAACATCATGCAGCGACTTCATGCCCTTCCAGCAGGACGCGAGCGCCCAGGAGGGCAGCGGGGACATGGAGTCTGGGCAGGGTTCAGAGAGCAGCGAGAGGTCGATGCAGTCGGACAAGGGGAAGGGGAGGACGAGCTTCGGGTCTGTCGAGGACTGGGTGGTGCAGAACCGGGTTGTGAGCGACTCTGCTCATCGGGGGATTTTCTCGAGCTGGGATCCTTTCGAGGAACACTCCAGAGACGCACCTCTTCCCTCCTCTGCCTCCCCTCCTCTCTCTCCCGGTCCCTCCTCCTTCCCCCCCGATGCTCCTGCTTCATCCTTTCCTGCACCACAAGCCTCGGCTCCCCCCTCCGATGCTCCTCCTCCCTCTCCTCCCCAGCTCGTTTCGGCTGATCCCCCTGCCTCAACGGATGACTCGATCCACGTCTCTTTCGCTTCATTCCCTCTTGCTCCTCCCTCTGCCTCCTCTTCTGCTGCCCCTCGTTCTACTCCCCTGCCTCCTTCCTCTCCTCCTCCCTTTTCTGCTCCTCCTCTCCCTCCCTCTGCTCCTCCTCCCCCTCCTCCATCCTCCCCTCCTCCCCCCTCTTCCTCAATTCTCCGCACCTCTGCCCCTCCTCCTCCTCCTTCCGCTCCCCCTCCTCCTTCCGCTCCTCCACCTCGCCCATCTGTCCCCCCTTCCCCCTCGTCTCGTCCCCTTCCTCCGTCTTCTCCTCCCCCACCTCCTGCGGGAGCTCCCTCCCCCTTCGCCTCGGATGACCGACAAAACATCGCACAAGAGGAGAGTGGGGGAGGGGACGAGGAGGCTCGAGCGAAGTCGGAGAGTCAGGAAGGCGTTGCCGCCTCCCCCCTGGTTTCTCCTCCAAGTTTTCATCCTCTTCCCGCGTCAGACCCGCATCAAACAGGTGCAAGGAGCAGAGTAGAAGTTAACCGTCTGCTAACCCGCATGCCAGCAGGCGCGAAGGAGGAGGAGGAGGATAAATTCAGTCAACCCCCTCCCTCCTCCTCGCCAACCGAGGTCGCAGCATTCTCCGTCCTCGCTCCCTCCCACCATTCCGGGGCAGCTGATCATGAGCTGGAAGACCAGGGAGGCAAGTGGCAAGGAGGGAAGGAGGAGCAGAAGCAAGAGGAGGCCGCGCATGTCGGCATCGAGGATGGGAAGGAACAGGGAATGGAGGACGAGGAGGTTGGAGGTGTTGCTGTGCATGCAAGTTTGGAGGGCAGTGAGATACAATTGCCGGCTCCTCCTCTCGCTGGACAGAGCGGTAACAGCGCCCTTGTTCACCTCCTGGCCCTTCTGACGGATGTCGGTCTGTTGTCACCAGCAGGAGGAGATGGAGGAGGAGGAGATGGAGGAGGAGGAGATGGTGACTTCAAAGACCCGTCGAACACACAGGTGAGTCAGAGAGGATCGTCCCTCCCTCCTCCTGACTTGCGGCAGGAGCAGCAAAGTGAACCGGGCGGTTGGGTCTCCTTCGGGGACTCGGGCATGGGATTCTCTGACGACGATTTCTCGTGATTTCACCAGCTTCTCGTTCCCTCGTTGCAGATCCTTCTTGTTTGTTACAGATCCTCCTTGTTTGTTACAGATCCTCCTTGTACAGATCTACTTGCACTTGTCCTACTTGCACTTGTCCTATTTGTTTCATCCAATCCATTCGTATCATTTCAGTGAACTCTCGTCCGTCTGTATTTCAGCCTGCAGCATCAGGCAACAACTTGAACCGGAGCCTCCTCGAAGACTCTTTCTTGTGTGGCAGTCTCCTGGCATCCGATCACTGAAGGGGTAAACTAAACATCACACGTCACATAGTATCTCCTAAGTCACAGACCGGGCCTCTTCAACCTGCACTGAGTTTCAAACTCCGAGCGGGAGGTCGAACAAGACGAGAGGATGGCGGGGGAGACGAAGGAGAAGGAGAAGACAAGAGAGAGAGAGAGAGAGAGAGAGAGAGAGAGAGAGAGAGAGAGAGAGAGAGAGAGAGAGAGAGAGAGCAAAAACGAAGCTAGGGAAGAGAAGCATAAGGAAGCACGACTGTGAACATGGGCGGAAGCCATCACGATGCAAGGACTGTTGGGGAGGGAGCATATGCGAGGACGGGCGGCGACGATCAGCATGCAAGGACTGCAGGGGAGGGTTGGTAGGGGAGGAGGCAAGGGTCTGAAGGTGTGCAAGGTTGCTGAGGTTAGAAAGACATCCGTTTGTCTTGGACAGCAAGCACACGACAGCTCCTATGATTATCAGCTTCTAGGACTACTTGCCGTTACGGTATACCTGCTTGACACTACGGTATGATCAGGATGTGGCTGGTGGAAAGCTTCCAGCAAGTCAAGCACACTCCGAACAGATCGCTGACCTCTCAGGAAGCACATTCGAAGCACGGAGAAGAAGGCGGTGAAGCTTCGTGAGGGGTTTGCTTGCTGTCTTGGGTTTCGGCGCAACGAGACCGGTCTGTGGTTCTAGCGAGTTTCTTCCTTCTTCTATGGAAGCAGAGAGGTCACACCGCAAGGAACTGTGAGCTCTAGTACTGTTGGGGTGCGGTACGAACCTCTCAAGTGTTCCTGACGGTAATTTTGACATCAAAAGATATGGTAAACATGTTTTACGAGTACGGGGAATATGCTGTGTCTGGTTAGGGTTGATGGGCCCCATGGATGCAACTGTCATTGGTCAGGACTTGGAAGGGTTTCGAGCAAGATCATCATTCTGTCTGACCTTGCAGGAACAATCTTTGCTCTGCGCTCAAGTCATGGGCAGCAGTCCATCGATCAGGTCAACTCGTACTTCATGGCCAGCAGTCCATCGATCAGGTCAACTCGTACTTCATGGCCAGCAGTCCATCGATCAGGTCAACTCGTACTTCATGGGCAGCAGTCCATCGATCAGGTCAACTCGTACTTCATGGCCAGCAGTCCATCGATCAGGTCAACTCGTACTTCATGGCCAGCAGTCCATCGATCAGGTCAACTCGTACTTCATGGCCAGCAGTCCATCGATCAGGTCAACTCGTACTTCATGGCCAGCAGTCCATCGATCAGGTCAACTCGTACTTCATGGCCAGCAGTCCATCGATCAGGTCAACTCGTACTTCATGGCCAGCAGTCCATCGATCAGGTCAACTCGTACTTCATGGCCAGCAGTCCATCGATCAGGTCAACTCGTACTTCATGGCCAGCAGTCCATCGATCAGGTCAACTCGTACTTCATGGGCAGCAGTCCATCGATCAGGTCAACTCGTACTTTCCACTGCTGCAAGCATGCAGAGCCATGTAGCACTCGAACCAGACGTCAGATCAAGATTTCTTCCTCACTGAACTTGAGCAGACCAGTCAACTCAAAACACTGCCAGGGGCAAGGTGCGGTCAGCATCGCTGAGGTAGCGGCCGGGTAGGACACCGGCGGCCTGCGGCATTCCGACGGCAACTCCCCACTGGCAAGTGACTCGGACGCAGTGACCGGTGCAACCCTGCGCCATGGTGTGGCGACGACGTCGCCTCGTGAACTTGGTGAGCTCGAGGAGAGGAACGACCACATCGCTTCCAGCATGCAGGCCTGACGGTTTCCCTTCAACCGTTTGCTCCTCTCTTCACTGCCAACTGCACGAGCTAATACGATGACAAGACTTTGCGCATGCGCGGTCAAGGCCAGGGCAATCGCAGGGAGAAGCTTGTTGGTTGGGAGGCTTCTTCCATGCTAACAACTTGCTACTGTTGATCTTGTCAACACACGATCAGATGCCTGAGGTACACCAAAGACTCTTACCGCACACGTGTAGGGAAATAGGTTTCATTACAACAATGCCAGTGCCATGATGCAACATGCATCCCCTCCCTCCCTCCGATCTCACTGCTCTTCATCAAGACAAGATCACAAAGAGAACCTGGGCCCACACGCACGCACGCTACACCAGCACTGACTACTAGCGCACACGCTTATCTTACGATGCTGCCGTCAAGACGCCTGCTGCAGCTCCAGGAGGTGAGAACTCCTCAAGGCTCCGAGATGAAATGGTGATGACTCCGTAACGGCTTCAAACGGCTCTTGTACGCACAGGCTTCATGCTTGGCAGCTGACCTGCAGGTTCTCTACTGCCCTGGAAGCGCAACGGCAAGGGAAGGGAGCTAGACATCTATGACCTCAAGTCAAGTCAATGGCTTCGTCAATCCAGCAGCACTATGTCAGTGTGAGAGCCTCACGATCTGATACTGACAGCGTGAACATGGTTATCTCGCAAGATCCCACCCCGACTCCAGCAGCCCGGTTCCGGTCCTTCAGCTGAGCTAACCTAACAAGGAGTCGCACTCAGCATCTCAAGTCACCCGCAGGCTCATGGTCCCTGCGCCTCTATCAAGCTCACATACGACGAGAGCCTTGCAAGGTAGCCTGGCGATCAGACCTTCCCATGCGGGCTTCTCCTCCCTCCCCCGCAGTCCTTGCATGCTGATCGCCGTCGCCCGCGCTCGCATATGCTGCTTTGCCCGCATCCCTTGCATACCGATCGCTCCTGCCCGTGCTCGCATATGCTCCCTCCCCCAAAGTCCTTGCATACCGACCGTTGCCGCCCGTGCTCGCATATGCTCCCTCCCCTGCATGCCCTGCATTCCGCTCGCCGCCGCCCGTGCTCGCATATGCTCCCTCCCCCGCAGTCCTTGCATACCGATCGCCGTCGCCCGTGCTCGCATATGCTCCCTCCCCCGCAGTCCTTGCATCCCGATCGGACCCGGCCGTGCTCGCATATGCTCCCTCCCCCGCAGTCCTTGCATGCGGATCGGACCCGCCCGTGCTCGCATATGCTGCTTCCCCCGCAGTCCTTGCATGTAGATCGCCGCCGCCCGTGCTCGCATATGCTCCCTCCCCTGCAGTCCTTGCATGCTGATCGCCGCCGCCCGTGCTCGCATATGCTCCCTCCCCCGCAGTCCTTGCATCCCGATCGTTGCCGCCCGTGCTCGCATATGCTGCCTCCCCTGCATGCCCTGCATCGCGATCGTTGCCGCCCGTGCTCGCATATGCTGCCTCCCCCGCAGACCTTGCATGCTGATCGGACCCGGCCGTGCTCGCATATGCTCCCTCCCCTGCAGTCCTTGCATCCCGATCGGACCCGGCCGTGCTCGCATATGCTCCCTCCCCCGCAGTCCTTGCATGCGGATCGGACCCGGCCGTGCTCGCATATGCTCCCTCCCCTGCAGTCCTTGCATGCTGATCGGACCCGGCCGTGCTCGCATATGCTCCCTCCCCTGCAGTCCTTGCATCGCGATCGGACCCTGCTGTGATGGCATGCAGTATCAGCTTTGCGCCTCTGTTTTCGTCTCTGATCGTCTTGGCTCTTGTCTTGCTCTTCTCCTCCCTCATCTGAGCTCTCCTTCCTCCTCTTCCTCCCCGACCTCTCGCTGCTTCCCGCTGCCGCCGACATCGCCGTCCTGGTACTCGTCATCGTACAGACCAGCAGCATACCACTGAGCATACCAGCTGCATACCAGCCCAGCGGTGGGTCATTGAGGGGATGAGGGAGGCATTTAAAGAATCCCAGCGGGCATGGCTGGTGGAGGTCGGCTCCTCCTCCTCCTCCTCCTCCTCTTGTCGTCGGTATGCTGGCTTGCAGACGCTCAGGGGAGGCAGAGAGGAACGCTGCTGCTCAACATGCTCATCAAGAACGAGGCCGAGCATCTCCGGAGGAGCCTTCCGAAGTGGGCCCCTTTGATCGACTACTGGATCATAGGAGTAGGTGAGTGAGGAGCCATGGCGCTTGAGGGGACTGAGCTCGACATGCAGACGACCACAACACAGATGAGAGCGAGGACGTCATCCGCCAGTACCTCGGCCACATTCCTGGCGAGATCGTCGTGGTCGCCTTCGACGGGATGGGGCCAACATGGACGAAGTTGGTGGAGCGAGGCCTGGAGGCGTTCCCCAACGCCACTCATGGCATCATCGCAGATGCAGACTTCACTCCCATGCAGAGCAGCCTGGACAAGTCGCAGCTGATCCTCGAGTGCTCCAAGCACATGTACAGGATCCGCAGCACCGACGGCTCGACCGTTCGCAACATGGACTGGATCTATCGGAACATCCCAGGGGCCAAAGTAGAGCGGAGGACGCACCAGAGCCTGAGCGTCCCCAAGATCCCAGGGCAGCGAGTGTTCCAGACCATGATCGACCTCGAGGTGCAGGAGTTCACTGGGGGCTACCAGGATCGCTCGGGCAACAAGTCCCAGCGGTACCTCAACTGGCTACTCAAGGACCTTGAGGAGATGCCCAACGACCCGCGAACCATCTACTACCTCGGCCATGCTCACCTGGACATGATCGGGCCGACGCCCGCGCAGGATGTGCAGAGCGGGGGGGCAGGCGCGGAGCATGTGAAGAAGGCGCTGGAGTACTTCACGTGGAGGAGCGAGGTAAGGATGGGGTACTTCGAGGAGCGGTGGTTTGCTATGCTCAAGGCAGCGGAGATCTGCGAGAGGTATCTCTTCGACTATGAATGCTCTCTCAGGATGTGGAACAAGGCGAAGGAGGTCAGTCCTGCTGCTGCTGCTGCTGCTGCTGCTGCTGCTGCTCCTCCTCCTCCTGCTCCTGCTCCTGCTCCTCCTCCTCCTCCTGCTCCTCCTCCTGCTCCTGCTCCTCCTCCTCCTCCTGCCTTCCTCCTCCTCCTCGAATATTTCTTCTCTCCTCTCACACCTCGTGCGCAGCTAGACCCTGAGCGAGTAGACACCTACTTCTACATAGGGCAGCACTACCGGCTTGCTCAGCAGCCAGACCTCGCGTTCCCTTACTTGGAACAAGTCAGTCAGCACGCATCGAGACGTCGAGGAAAGGCCATTGATTTTGACACAGGCCGTGAAGCTACAGTACCCTCCTCGCAGTCTGTTCCAGTGGAATATGCTCTATGACTGTCTGCGGCATCTGGAGCTGGGGAGAGTTGCGATGGCAGCAAGTCTCTTCCTTTTCCTCTCTCCCCCTTCCGCCTCTCCCCCTTCCTTCCCCCCATTCCATATCCTGTTCATCTTCCTGTTCCCGTCCTCAGCCTCATCCTCCTCCTTCTCCCTCTCCCTCTCCCTCTCCCTCTCCCTCTCCCTCTCCCTCTCCCTCTCCCTCTCCCCCATCCTCCTCCTATTCCTCCACCTGCACCGCTGACGACGTTGGCAGCAAAGATGGACAGAGCGAAGTGGAGGGTGACGAAGAAGTCTCTCAAGACTGCACTGCGGCAATGCCCCCGCGAGCATCAGGTACGAAACTGTCCGTTCCCTCTCACCCGCAGTTTGTCTCCTCACGTTTCCAATGTATTTACTTGCTAGCCCTCCCTCACCTTCCTCCTCTTCGCTGCCCGCAGGACGAGGTCGGCCGGCTGCTCGGCACTGCAAGGCAGGAGCTGAACAAGTACAAGAAGAGCAAGGAACCCGCCCAGCAGCCGCCTGCTGCTGCTGCTCCTGACCAAAAGGCTGCCGACCCTTCCAAGGATGCGCCGGCCGGCGACACGACGGCCCCCAGCAGGAGCGGAGCAGCGAAGCCCTACGTCGTGGCTCTAGAGCGGCTGCAGGACTGGTGAGCACTCGAGCCCGACTCTCCAGCTGAGTGACGTCGGTCAGGCACGGGACTCATCGGGAGCGTCTTGACAAGGTCCAGCTGGGAGGGGAGCTGGAGGCGATCACGGCGAGCATGTCAAAAGTTGTCGCTGCTCCTCCTGCCGCCGTTAAGAATTGCAAGGAGTTCATCGAGACCACTCAGGTGCCGCAAGCCTCCTTCACCTCCTCGGTCCTCCTGTCCATGTACCTCCCCAGCTCCTTCCTTCTGCCTCCTTCCATCCTTCTGCTCGCTGCTCTCCTCTCCTCCATCCCTACTTTCTCTTCCTCTCTTCCCCTTCCACCCTCTCCCCTCCCGCTCCCCCCAGCTGCTCACGGCAGGCAGGGCTACTTGTCATCTTTTAATTCCAACATGGAAAAGCTTCGCAGCCTGCTGTGGAAGTCCGAACCCCAGCTGTGGGTGAGCTGACCGACGCGCTTCCTCCTCCCTCTCACTTTCCATGCAGGAGTCCTGGCTGCAGGCAAACCTTGTGCTGTGGTCCGCATGCCCTCCAAAGACAAAGAAGAAGAAGTGAAAGACTCCTTCCTCCTTCTAGTAGCTCAACTCCCCCCCCCCCCCTCCCTACTTTCTAGCTCCTCCTCCTCCTCCTCATCCTCTTCCTCCCACTGTCTTCTGCTCTACCTCAGCCTGCTGAGGGCCTGCTCGGGCGTTGGCCGCTGGTGGAGCACGAAACAGTCAGAGAGGAGCAGCAGCGTGCAGGGAAGCGCTACCTGCCCTGGTCCTCGCATCAGCATGTCCTGTAGAATTGCCAGGAGCTCCTCGTTTCCTCCTCCGAAGAGCTGCGCCACCTCCTACTCGACCACATGTCAGCTCCCCTTGCCGGCCTTCCTCACTCCCCCTCCTTCCTCTCCCTCCTCCCCCTCCTTTCTGGAACTCCTTCCACCCCCTCCTCCTGTCTCCCCGTCCCTCCTCCTCCCGTTTCCTCCCTCCTCCTCCCACCTGCTTCAGTGAAGGCTCAGCACGTCCTTGAAGGATGTTTTGCTGCCACTTGGCGAGGCTGAAGCCGCACTTGGGAAAGTCCACCTGCTTGCCTGCTCAGGAGCTCGAGGGAGCGGCGCCACGTCACCTCGGCGAACTCCTGCATGAGGGTGACGGCGTTGGGGTCCTTGTGGTTCACCCCCGGACGAGGGTCAACGGAAAAGGAGGGGAGGAGGCATCTGCCCAGCTGTTACCTCAGCTCACGGGGCAACTCCGCAACTACCTGATGCCTGTCATGGCCACGCAGTACACGTCGAACTTCCCCGGCTGCAGCGCCTTCGTCAGCAGCAGCTGGGCAGCAGTAAGGGGCTCGCCTGCTGGGGTTGGATCCTCTTCTCGGGGGGGGCGTAGATGGGGTCGAGGGAGACGTCGTTGATGCCTGGGGGCAGCGCTTACATCGCTTCCTCGTGCATGGACGGGGCTACCGATGTTCGCCTGAACGTCACAGGAGGACCCGAAGTCGAGGAGCTTCAGCTGCGACCCCGACACGAGGATGTTCTCTGCCGTCGGCTCCTGCCTCAATCCCCTTCCGCCCCTCTGCGTTCGAGTCACCTGGCTTGATGTCCCGATGCATGACCCCAACAGAATGCAGCTGTTGCCATCGTCACCTCCCTGAAAACCCCATCCTCCTCTTTCTCCTCGTCCGCCTCGTCCGCCTCCTGCTCTTCCCCCTCCCTTTCATCTTCCTCCCCCCTCCCCCCAACCCTTCCCTAGCCCCCCCACTCCTCCTCCTCTTCATCCTCATCCTCCTCCTCGCTGACCTGTACACACGTCTGGAGAAGTTCTTTCATGACTTTCTTGCAGAGCTCAGGTCTGACGCCTGATTCTGACTTGCACCCAACCTTGCCCGCGACATTCTGTTTGGACAGCAACAGGTCTTCCAACGTCTCCCCGTTCTCCTTCTTGAAGACGATACCCACAGATCCCATGTCTGCCGTTGCCATCACGACTGAAATTCCCTTCCTCCTGCTCCTGCTCCTGCTCCTGCCCCTGCCCCTGCCCCTGCTCCTGCTCCCTCCCTCTTCCTCCCTCCCTCTCTTGCCCCCTGCCTGCCTGCCCGCCCGCCCGTTCCTCCTCCTCCACTCCTTGTCCCGGTCAGTATGTTACAACCTGCAGGGATCTGGGATGCGTCCAGCTCGATCCTCCCGAGAAACTTGGCCCATCGTCTGAGCACGGCAGCGTCAGGAGCACGGAGGAGGGCAGCAAGAGAGGTCAACGGGTTCGGGAAGGACTTGTCCAGCTTCTCGTTCACCAGCATCTCAGTCTCAAATGTCGACATAGCGAACTTCTGGTTGACAGGGCACTTGATGACGACCTGCGGCCGCCGTTAGCGCGAGCATGCTGCAGGTACCGAGAGCCACCTGTCCTCCCATGCCGGCGAACCCTTGAGACGCGAAGAAGACCTTGCCGAAGGAGCCCTGAGCGTTTGGCTGCATCCAGTTGACCTTGAAGTCGGTCGGGCCGAAGGTCTTGGCCATTCGAGGAGAGCAATCCCTCCTGCGCTGGTCAAACCTGGGCAGTGACGCCTTCTTCGAAGCTGCTTGCAGACCGACAGGCGCTGACGTCAAGAAGGCATCGGCGACCACGCTGGTAGCCAAGAGCGCAAGTATCCTTGTGAGACGCGGCATCGACACCTAGCAGTCGACTAATGGGTCAAGCATGAAGAAATCGAGAGGGGAATGTCCGTCAGTTAACAGATCACCACAATGAAACATCTTCAACCAAGCATGAAACAATCACCCAGTGCGCTCCATCAACCCCATCGCCTCCTGTCCACCGCATGTTTCGAGATCCTCATGAGGAACAATCCTCCTCTCCCCTCCATGCCGACCGCCCCCCC